GTGTAATTAGTTAAGATGATGTCATACTAGAGTATGCTGGACCCTACATCCAATATGACTGGTGTCCTTAAAAGAAGAAACCAATAATGTATAAGTTGTTGAATCACTATATTGTACACCTGATACTAATATAACATTGTATGTCAACTATACTTCAATAAGAAATAAAAAAAAATAATAAGTAATTTAAGTGAGGGAAAGATAACACAGAGACAGAGGCATACAAGCAGAGAAGGCCATACAAAGATAAAGGTAGAGAGTGGAGTGATATTTCTACGAGCCAGCAAAAAACAGAAGCTACGAGAAAGGCATGGGACAGAGTCTCCTCTGGAGCTTTAGAGAGAACATAGTATCGTTGGCACCTTGATTTCGGCTTCTAGTCTCCAACGCTGTGCAAGAATAAATTTATGGTTTTAAGCCACCAAATTTATGGAGATTTGGGATGGCAGCCACAGGAAACTAATACACCCAGCATCCCTTCTGGACCACAGTGGAGGTAGAGCAGCAGTGCAAGAGTCCCTGCACTGAGCTGTGGTCTCCCAGTCTGTGTGGGGTTACGTCCTAAAACAGCTAATGATGCAGAGTGTGAACTGGAGGACACTGGGAGCCCTGCAAGCCAAGTGAGATGACTTAATTTTTCATATGAAGTTCATCCCTCTCAAGCCATCTTCAATAGCCAAGCACTTAGTTGCAATGTTTTTGTTTCCTGATCTCAGGGTTTTTGTTTTTTTGGGTTTTTTTTTTTTTTTTTTTTTTTTTGAAATACAGTAGTAAGTTGTTTTGCAGAAGGACTTTTGGGGAGCACTCACCAGCACAACACCTGTGAGTGGTGAAAAAAGCAGAAGTGGTCAGAGTGGGAAGCTGAATCACAGTGCAATTGTGACAGAGGCCCCAGCCAATCCTACAGAGAGTTCTGGAGCTGAAATGGCCCTTTGGAGCGTTCCCAACTGGGGCTATGAGGCCAGGCCTTTGTACCCACACTCAGAACAGCTATTGGATGCAAGCTGCTCACACTAAGAAGCCAAAGCTTTGATCAAGGCTACTTCTATCAGCTGCAGACAATTTCTGGTGATGAACACAGCTGTGAGCAGCCAGGAAAATGAGTACCTTGGTCCGAAAGGGGATCCAGCAGGTGCATTGCAGCATCCCCCCCTGTATACTGGTGGAAGTCCTTCCATTGAATCATCATTTTTTATTAGAATGTGGCCATGTGAGAGTACACCTGGATTAGAATCTCCTTACTCTGAGAAAGAATCCATTAGGTGCTCTCAAATCATGTGTATAGTGACAGATTCGAGAGGACTCAACATTGCATTCTTACACATTTCCCTCTCTCACCCACACATTTTCCATTACTATCCATTTCAATGACTCTAAAAATCTCCATTTCTGGGGCGCCTGGGTGGCTCCATTGGTTAAGCATCCAACTCTTGATTTTGGCTCAGGTCATGGTCTCACAGTTCTTGGGATCAAGGCCTGCATTGGGCTTTGTGTTGACAGCATGGGGCCTGCTTGGAATTCTCTCTGTTCATCTCACTCTGTCTCTCTCTCTCAATTAATGAATAAAGTTTAAAAAATTAAAAAATTAAAATCTTCATTTGAAAGTGGCTTCTAGTCACACGTGACCATGGCAATTCCTTCTCTTTTTCTAGTGATCTATGGACAGAGAGGATAATCATCTGACTCTACATGGAAATCCCCATCCATTCGTTCAGTTATTTTTCCATTCATTTGCCAATCATCACACATATTCAACATGTACTCTATGCTAAACAAGGGATTGAGCATTACACAAATGAATTAGGTTGTACAAGGCCTTACCTGGCATGATAAGGAGCTGGACTTGCTCTGGATACAATGAAGGATTATGGGCAACACTGTGACTTGAATAGGTTTGGGTTACTGGAAAATCTTTCTGTTGGTGGCATAGCAAATGGATTGCTGCAGGGTCCATAGGACGCAGTGCGAAGTGAGGGGATTTAAATATCAGTTGAGTTACTCTTCAGACCTTAGGTGCTCACTCTGTCCTTCCTCTGATGAAGACCCGTTTTGCCCACAAGTCAGCAGCATTGCCGAAGGGCATGTGGACAGCCTGCTTGGGTGGCAGTGCTCACACTGTCCTAAGTTACAAGCAGCCGATGGGGCCCAGGCACATGTCTTTGAATGTGCAAACACACCATGTATGTGACCCCAGGCTGCAAATGCTAGGTGTGAAATACACAGCTATCCACACAGACTGGACACCTCTAAAACATGAGTCCCGAGAGTATGCCTGATTCCATTTTGGCTTTTCCCCTCCATAGCCTCAATAGTTTTGGACCAGTCCCTAATAGTTAAAGTAAATCACTCAGTGGGTGAGACTCAGAGATTATAGATCTAAATGTATAACCTAGCAGTAGAGACTATATTCCAAAGACACAAAAGCAAGAGAATTCTTTTTTTTTAAATTAACCAACTATAGATTGGAAAATAGAAGAGAAAATATCATATTAGTAATAATTATTTGAAGGTAATAGCTTATGTTCTTTAATGCCATTCCAACATAAATGTCATTGTAAGAAATGATATTTCATTTCCATACTAACAAATCAGGTACTTAGTGTGCTGGGGGAGAAATTATTGGAACTACTTTAAAGCTGCATTAACCAGAGAAACTGCAAAAATATTGATATTCTTATGAAGGAAGGAAGGAATGCCCCTCATGGGTGTATTTAAGTACCCTCCATCTTTTGGATAAATGGTAATGCTAAACAAAAAATGGAAAGATGACCTTAAAATAATAACCTCAGGACTCAACTGGGACTGAGCTTCTCAATGTACAAAAATCATTTGCAATATGTTCAGGATGGAAATTTCTATACTGCTTTATAGCTCATAGACTGCATTATATACCTCAAACAAAAATCACCAAAACTCCCAATTCTGGGCTGGCTTCCTTCCCTTGGGGTGTTCCCCCTACCCCTTTGTAAAATTATTCATCATCCTCTTACTCACTGTCTGCAATTTTGCTCAGTTATTCAACAGCATTTGTAAGGACAGAAAAACAAAGGGAAGGAGAAAACCAATCCATTCGGAGAGGTGTTTCATATAGAGGATGGGATTGTTAAAGCAAACCAGGTCTGGCACCATTAGGGCTTCCTCTAGCCAATTCCTTCTCCATCCTTTCTTACAAAGATCTCATGCAAAGGCCACGTGGACAATTTCACAGAGGAAATGCTGAGCTGGTATGTGAAAGCCACCCCACTGAGCAACTCTGTCATTCCGTGTCATTTGTAACAGCCCATGTGTTTGTTACACGGAAGATGGAGTGTTGGTAGGGGCCTGAATGTCTGAGTCATCTAGTTCTCAAACAGCAACTCCAGAGGTTTGAGTTTCTAGTTGATTTATCATGAATGGCACTGATACTTATCTGACTGGAAGCTGTTAGCCTGAATTGCTACTCGGAGAAACAAAGTCAATGAAAGTCACCACTCCAATAGATCTGTGAAGGATGCATGGAGTCCTCCTTTAAATAAGTGTCTGGCCCCTATCCATCAAAGGGCACACAACTAGAGGGATACAAGTCTATATCCTTAAGTCCTTAGAGTCAATAATACTCCAGGCTTATTTTTCCCAATCATATAGGTTTTGAATGCCAAGGGACTGAACATAGTCCTGATGATACAACCTTCAGATGCACTCATGTCTACATTCTCTTTTGGCCTTTACAAAAACTCTTGTGCAGTAGGGAGGAAAAGAATCCTTATGAATATTAACATTTGATATATGAAACATACACAGGTTCGTAGAGGTATGTAGCTTGCAACACTGCTGATAAGTGGGAAAGTGAGGTCTTGTGATGCCTAATCCCATGCCCCTCCAATGATCTCACTCTTATTTTTCTACATCGACATTAATTGGGGTAAACTGGATTAATTCAATCTAATAATTTATTAACTCAATAACTGAACAATTTATTTTGAGCAACTGTTTGGACTGATTGGCTATTTAACAGAATTAATAGGTTAGAATGGGTGGTTCAGTAGCCCTGTGTCAAAAAAAAAAAAAAAGAAAAAAGTCTTTGGCCAGGTGGGAAGTTAGGTAATATTCATCACCTGTCACTCCCTGTCTTCCCTGAGAGCTACCAGATTTCCACAAGCACAGGACCATGTAGGCGCCAAGTGCTTCCTGGCTGTTCCAGGATAATATCAAAGCCAATGTAATGAGATTTAATGTTGGTAAGGTCCAGGTATCCTTGGGATTGAATAGAAGACTGTCAGCTTGCCTAACAAATTTAAAAGAATCTACTACCATGGCATTGTCGCAATGTCCCTTATTTATGCTCCTCTAGTGGGGACAGGGAAGAGCAGCTAAAGCAGGCTGCCTTAGTAGCTATCCAGCTGCTCATGCAGTTAACAGAGCTGTAGAAAAAAAAAAATGTGATTTATACGAGCCTTTCCCTTGACACTGGAGCATGAGTCCCAGATCCACTCATGTTGGGGAGATACATGTCATGAACACACTTCTGTGTGCTCTGGTGATAGCAGGGCAACAGAGAGCTGCTGATTTAGATAATCACATAAGATAGAGGCACACAATACACGGATGTAAAGGGCAATATCTATGCACCAACCTACACCCTTTATGATGCAAGGGGAACCAGTCGAGTTGTGCAAAAGGTAACAAGAGATCCCCATGCATATAACAGCGCCAGGCCGAGGTTCCATAAAAGCTGGGGGTGCATGTCTGAGGGAGGCTCCCTGCCACTTGCTGGCCAGGGCACATGATTGAGAAACCAAACCAACGGGCACGTACAAATTGCTTCCAGGATAAACACAGATTGTGCTGCCAGTGAATGCAATCATTGATTAGTTCTGCAAGATCAGGTAGCGAGGCCAGACTACCTGGAGACTTCTTCCACGTTCAGGAGAGAAAGAAGAACTGAGAGGTCTTTAACAGTGCCCCCATTACAGTACATAGCTGCTGGACAGAAAGTATGCATATGCCGGAGCCTCACATACCTGATAGGGCCCCTGGTTGCAGCCACAGTAGCTGCTCTCCATCGTGTAGCTTCTGGACACCCCCATCTCTCTCCACACCACCACCCGGGCTGTGGAGGCTCGGGATTTCTCCACGAGGAAACTGCAGCTGCTCATCGTGAATGCTGGAGCTAGCTTATCAAGGATTTTGGGAAGAGTCTACAAGAAAAAAATAAAATCATGATGAATTAGGGATATGCATCACAAAAAATAATGTCCCAACATTTATTAAGCATATCAATATATCAGACACTTAATATATGCTCCTGCAATCTTCTATCAACCCTAAGGAATGGATACCAAGGGTTTGTTGTTTTGTGCTCTCAAATGAGGAATCTGAGACTTAGAAAAGTAAGACAGAAATAGCATAAGTCCAACTACAAAGTGGTTGGAATGGGATCCAAATGTCAATCCGGCCTACTCGCAAGACCATAATCTCCCAGTTCCATGTCTCTCCATCACTGTGGACCGATGTTGTACATGTATACATTCAGCCTCACACATCACTGTGTTGAGCTCCATGGAAAGACACAGATTCCATACGGACTGAAATTTAGAGAGTGACTCCACCCAGTCTCATGGTTTTCTAGCTCCAAGAGTCAAACTAAGGACTTCTGACTTATCCCAGATATTCAAATCATTGATGATCGCTGAGGGTCACATATAAAGTTTCCTAAAATAGTACGACTGCCAAAATGAACTTGCTAGTCCCATCTTGTAAATCTCATAAATCTGAGGCTGGACCAGTTATAAAATTAAATCCATCCTCTCTGGGTTCTTATATACCACTGTTTCCTAGGGTGGAAAAGCTCTAGGCGAGACAACTTAATCTATGGTTAGAAAGCATCTGTATGTAGATCCTTGCCACTCTCTGATTGACAGAAAGGGGGCTTCTAGTCACCAGACCTCCCCACTTCGAGGACGATGACTCAAGAATTCTGGGGCGCCTGGGTGGCGCAGTCGGTTAAGCGTCCGACTTCAACCAGGTCACGATCTCACGGTCCGTGAGTTCGAGCCCCGCGTCGGGCTCTGGGCTGATGGCTCAGAGCCTGGAGCCTGTTTCCGATTCTGTGTCTCCCTCTCTCTCTGCCCCTCGCCCGTTCATGCTCTGTCTCTCTCTGTCCCAAAAATAAATAAACGTTGAAAAAAAAATTTTTTTTAAAAAGAATTCATAGCACACCAGGTCCTTGGGTTAGCAGAAATCCTGAGCCTAGATAGTCCCAAACTTTTGTGCCATTAACAAGAAGGGTTCTTTACTTCACTGCTGACAGAATACTAGCACATAGTACAAAATTATGCGTATTAGATAACAAACAGTGAAACTTCAGGCTTTGGACAAATTGCAAGGAGAAGGAAGTGTTCTTTCCTCAGAACGAGAATACAAATTAAGAGTACTTTTAAAGAAATGCAATTTTGTTTATTTCTAGAACACTGAGCAAATCTCTTAATAACCTGGGTTCTTACTGTCCCCATGCTTAACATAACTTAATCATATTAATATAAAGATTAATACAAGTATTAATTATATTATAAATTACCTATGATATATGTATATGTTAACATAATTATTCATATAATTTAGTATGATCGTTAAGTTCCCAACATAGCCTGCAGACCTACAGCATCATTTGGACAAGGGAAATGAGCTGTTATGTCCTCACTTGAGTTTCTATAATTGTCCCCTAATTGATTTCATCTACCCACTTTTGTCCCTCTCTCCCAGTGATTCCTTCACCCCATTCTTCTCCTTCACAATGTCATCGCAATCACAGTAAAATTAATTTTCATGTAATTAGCTGTTTATTTTCTATCTCCTCTGCAGCTCAGAAGTTCCATAAGGGCAGGTCTGTGTCTTGTTCACAGGAAAATCTCTGCACACCAAGCTGGGTGCTCATAGGGGGCACTCCATAATTATTTGCTGAAATAAATAGAATCTGCTAGTCCAGACCCTTAGGGGACTGCTTAAATATATCTCACACACACATGCGCGCGCGCGCACACACACACACACACACACACACACACACAAAATCTCTCTCTCTCTCTCTGTCTATATATATATATATATATATACACATATATATATACACACACTATATTTATACATACATACACTATATGTATTATTTATATGCTATGTAAACAATTTATTTTGTTTTATGTATTACATAAAATATTTATGACATATACATAGCAACTAAAATGATTGAAAATACTTGAAAATGGTCTCAATTTATCAATATTTTACCTTGCTATAAAAAGTTTAATTGGACATTATTTAAATGATCTCTTTTTTCTTACTTAAGTGAACCTGGTTTTCTTAGCTCATATAGCCCATACCCAAATGACCACATGTTCCATTTAATGGCGTGTATCTCAGAAAGCTTTACAAGCTATGATCCCCTTGTTGGAGCCTGGAGAATAAGGGGTTTACAAGGTGCAGTTGGAGCATGTCTGTTACATACCCACAGCAAGAGTTTAGCCATTAAATAATGGACTCCAAAACTACTACAGCATTGGTAATAAAGTCCTGAACCCATTTCCCTTTTGATCTCACATAAATAGATCTATGTCAGAGAAATGAAGATAATTATAGTGTTAGTATTTGGAGAATGTCTTGTTTTGTTTTGTAAATGAATTAAGATATAGATAAACACTGCATGTGAATGGAGCCAGTGGACCCTTTTTGTGATGCTTTCAGGGATCTCCCAGCTCCAGTGGAAAAAGACTTGGGACCTTCAACTCTTTCTCTCCCACTTGCTCTGTGCCCTTAAACTTAATCTCGGTTTCCAAAAGTTGAAAATTATAATAGTTTGTTTTGGTTTGGCTCCCTCCCTCTCTAACTTTTTTTTCTTTATTTTTTCCTTTTTTTCCCCTTTTTTTTCCCTTTCCCTTCCCCATGGTCTTCTGTTAAGTTTCTCAGGATCCACCTAAGAGTGAAAACATATGGTATCTGTCTTTCTCTGTATGACTTATTTCACTTAGCATACATAACACTAGAGACTCTTAAAAACTGAGAACAATCTGAGGGTTGATGGAGGGTGGGAGGGAGAGGAGGGGGGTGATGGGTATTAAGGAAGGCACCTGTTGGGATGAGCACTGGGTGTTGTATGGAAACCAATTTGACAAAAAATTTCATATTTAAAAAAAAAGAGAATTATAATAGCTGCCTTTTCACTCAACACTTGCTATGTATTTTACATGCATTAGTTCAATTAATTATGAGTCTTTGACATAAATTCTGTTATTATCTCATAACATAGAGGCTGGATGAGTAACTTTTCAATGGTCACACAGCTAGTAAGGACAAATCCAGAAGTCAACTCAGATATCCTAATTCAGATCACATGAGCTTAGTGTAACCACTGTAGGACAGAACTTCTTCAGTAGGTATTATAATTCCATAGGCACGTAAAGAAATACAAGGAATGAATGACATAATATACATACACAGCATGGTCCAGGAGCTGGCATTTAGCATGGTCTCAACACAAACTTAGCAGGGACTTAAAGACTAGACAAGAAACAGCCCCGAGAATGAGTATTCTGCATCCCCGTAGACACTGAATCCCATTTGTCTTGGAGCAGCTGGGTCTGGAGCACCTCAGCTGATGGGGGAAGAGGTGGTCCTGAATCATTAATTCTGGTTTTGGGGAACATTGTAAAAGCTTGAGCTGCATTTCAATTCATCTGCTTTCTGCTGACTCTTCCAAGTCCTGCCTGGTTTCCCAAATTCACAGAAGATAGAACTTTCAAAGATATGCTGACTATGAACCCACTAGACAGCTCCTAGCTCCCAGCTCATTTCCAGGGAGAAGCCCTCTGTGGGGTGCCGGTTCCCCATGATCACCTCTACAGAACTCAGACGTCTTCTCTTTTCTCTGACTTAAGCATGTGGCAAGGGCATAGCTGGGACAAGGAGTCAAAAGTATGAATTCTAGATTCACACTACACGATTTGACATGGAGAAGGTCATTTAAGTCCACTAACCCTCATTTTTGCCATCACAGAAGGGGGAGGGGTAAGAATAGCTTCTACCTTGAATGAAGCGGTAAAGTCAAGAGAAGCCTCAGTAACCATGCAGTGTTGTTACTATGCTCTTCAGAGGTTTAGAGGAAAGGAAGGGTCACTCTGCTCCAATATTCAAACTTCCATGATTGGAAAAAAAAAACAAAACCAGCTTTTAAAACCTCTCTTTACCTTGTATATTTCCCTTCTCTTAACTTAGATAATCCCCGCCTACCAAGTGTCCAACAAGGACTTATTGCCTCTTCATTCTGCAGAGTAGTTTGACTCAGGTTTTTGTTTCTGTCTCATAGAACACATGCTTTAGAAGATCACTAAGGTCAGAATCTGAGGTGTGGTGTGGTGCTGAGTCACCTGGGTCCTAATCCCAGCTCTTGCTAACTATATGACCTTTAGACATTTTACCGCATCTCTGCAACCTCCCTTCCTCATATATGAAAGGGGATGCTATTAAAAGTACCTATTCATTTCACAAACATTGGTTAAGCATATTCTATTGCCATGCACCATTCTAGAAGATGCAGTAGTTGGGAAGATTAAATGAATGAACGTATACAGGGTGCTTTGAACAGTGCCTGGCACATGCTCATTACTGTAGAAGTAGTATCCACAGTTGTTATCTTTGCCACTCCTCAAAACTGGAAATTTATGAGGAAGACCAAGGCCAGGAAATGTCACTAACAAGAGACACTTCCCAGGCAGGACTGCCAAAGAACTGATTCCATCCACCTCTCCTCAGTTCACTGTGATCCACAATAGGCAGTTAAAATTCTTTAAGGCTCAAGTTTTAATTGTCACAGAATTCATGTCATTCTATTTCTTCATACTTCTTTTTTATTTTAAGTTTATTTATTTTGAGAGAGGGAAAGAGAAAGAGAGAGAGAACATAAGGAGGGGACGGGCAGAGACAGAAGGACAGAGAGAATCCCAAGCAGGCTCCACACTGACAGCACAGAGCCCGATGCTGGGCTCAAACTCATGAACCATGAAATCGTGACCTGAGCTGAAGTCAGACACTCAAGCAACTGAGCCACCCAGGCGCCCCAATAAATTTTTACTTTTAAAAACACACATTATTGATATCAACTTTATTGAAGTAAGTGAACAGTTTGATGATTTTTAGGAAATGTATA